GGGGGGGGGGGGGGGCGGGGGCGGGGCAGGCGGCTGGGCGGGGGGCCGTGGCGAGGCCTCCTCCCTCCCAGGGCTGGAAGGGAGCCCCCGCCTCCCCCCTCGGCTCCTGCTGCCGCGGCGCTCCCGGCCGGCCGCCCTGCAGCCCGGGAGGCCGGAGCGGATCCGACTTGGGGGCCGGGTGGGGGGGCGGTCGCCCTCGGACCCTCCGAGGGGGAGGAGGAGGGGGAGGCGCGGCCTGGGAGGGGACCGGAGCTGCCGCCGCCGCTGCGCCCGGGGAGCCCCGCTTTGCCCTCGTCTCCGTGAAGGGCCCCGGGGCCCCTTCGGCGCCCCAGCCCCGCCCTTCGGCCGCCGGCAGAGCCGCTCGCGGGGCCCGGCGCTGCTGGGGGAGGGAGGGGGAGGCCTGGCCGGCTCCGTTGGGGGCCTTGCAGTGTCCACTTGAAGTGGCTGGACTTCAACTCCCAGAATTCCCCAGCAGCCCTGTCGTCGCGGGGGGACTTCTGGGAGTCCAGGCCTCTTCCAGCCGCAAGGTTGAGAAAGGCTGGTTGAAGGGATGGTGGCAGGAGGAGATCCGCTGCAAAGGCCCCCCCAGGCTGAACCCTCCCTGGAGGAGAAAAAGGCCGGAGGAGGGGAGGTCTGATGAACAGAAGCCCCCCAGGAGGCCCTCCCCCCATCAAGGTCAAGGATGGGCCCTTCCACCCTCCTCCACCCCCCTCCCCAAAGTGACCGGAAGAGAAAGAGAAAGGCCCAGAGGGAATTGCCCAGATCCTGAATCATCCTGGCAGAGGAGGGATCCCGGAGGATTTCACTGCAATTGTCACTTTTGAAAAACCAGCCCAGAATTGCCACCTTCGGGTGGGGGGTGGGCAGAAAGAGGATCCTGCGAGCTACCCTGTGGCCGCTTCCATTTGGACGGCTTTGGTGGCGATGATGCAGGCATCCCTCCGGCCAGGAGAGGATTCCTGCTCCCTAGAGAAGAGTTTAGAGTCCTTTGACGCAGCCCAGTCTGCACGCCCAGGAACCAGAGTCCGTTTGCAGGTAGAGGAGGAAGGAGGTTCTGTGGAAGCCCGTGAGGCCTCCCTGGTGCTGAAGCAGATGTCTGCCTGGAGGCCTCTGGGCAGCAGCCTGGGCACGGTCTGGTCCTCTCTGAGATGTCCTACTAGTGGACCTCGGAATAGACTTTAAGGACAAAGCTGTTGGGAGGCAGGCAAAATTGACCTCTTAGGGGGGGAAATCGCAGAATTCATCTTTTTGGACTGATTTTATCCCCAAATGGGAACCTTCTGTCTTGCTAAGGTACCTGGGACTTCACTGAGGGCTGCAGAAATTGGGTAGAGCCGATGATCGGAACCAGGGATGGCTCTCCTACTAAGCCCCCTTGCCAAGATGGACCAGGAAAGGGTCCTAAGGAGGTGGCCAGGGGGCTCGATTCCAGGCGAGGAAGGAGAGCCCCCCCCCACTGGACGCTCGGCCATGACTTCGCCTAGGAGGGAGCCAGGTGCGGCACACCTGCCAGGAGCCAGAAGGGTCTCTGCCCAGCTGGGTCAAACCCGTCCCTTGGAAGAGAGCCGGAGGAGCGGCCCTCGCCCTTCTGCCCGTGGGGAGGGAAAGGCCCGGTCTCCCAGCCACGGAAAGGGAGCCCATGGAAGGGGCTCCGACACAGATGAATCTAATCAGCGTCCAGTCCTCGAAGGCAGGAATTGCAGCCAGAGAGTCCAGGGAGTCCGAACAATAAGCCTTCAGTGATCCAACTTTGAGCAATCTGAAGGATTTGGCAGGCGGAGACGGAGGTGGCCGTAAACAAAAGGGAACCAATTAAAGAGGGGAGAGGGAGGACTTGTTTATACAGGATTTGGGGGTCTTAAAAACAGAATTGGTCTGGGAAACAGTCCACCTATTTGTTAGGCCCCCCCCCCGAATCCCAGTGAGGGAGAAGATCACACGTGAAGCACCTTCGTTCGCCATAGTATCAAAAGTGCCAGAAAACGGTGGAGTCATTATTGGTTTAACATGGCTTGAAATGTGAGCCCCTCTCTGTGGGGAAGGATTTGGGGGGGAAATGGCCACGAAGTCAAAGCTGAGCTCCCGTTCTTTGTGGCACAGAAGGAGACACATTTTTCCGTCGTAGATCGTCCCACCGCTGACCAGAGGCGGCAGGCAGGGGCCTTTTCCAAGAGAGGCGTTTGTCTTCCTGGTGGGGGCTGGAAAAAGGCTGGCAGGAGATGGGCTTCCAAGGGCCCCCCCTGCGTTCTCTGCTGAGCGGCCTTGCAGGAGGAGTGAGCCGGGTCCTAAAAACGGGGATTCAAATTCGGGCAAGAGGAATTCGGAGTGATCGGATGGAGAGGTTGCCCCGTTGTCTGTCTGCACACGAGGCTGTTCCTCAAACACCGACAGACTTCGCTCCCTTCTGCGTGGACGTTTGGGAGAGGCCTCAGACGACCCACCTCGGCTCCCGCTGAAAGACAAGCGAAGCTGGTAGAGCCTCAAACCTTGGATCGGTTTGCTGCTGTTTAGGGAGAGCTGGAGGGTGCAGAGTTGAAGGGAAAACAAACGACTTGGGAGCCCAAATGGCAAATGGCTCTGTTTTCCATGCCTGCCTCAAAATGTGGAATGGCAGAAGGGCTGCTAGAACTGGACCCGGGAGAGGGAGAGGTGGTCTTCGCGAAAGTCAGACCGACTGAATGCCTCACGGGAAGGCGCTTGCACTGGGCAGGATAAATTGGAGGAGCACACCTGTGTAAATGTGCTTTAGTCCTGCTGCCAATCGTAGGATGCATTAGGAAAAATGGGGAGGGGGAGTTGGGTATGTGTGTGGCATTTGAGGGCCTCCCGGAGCTCTCCTCGTAGCGGTTGCACCCTGGAGTGGTTGGGGGAGTGAGGCTGGAGGTGCCCCTTTGCAGAGGTTCTGCTCCTAACTTTCCGGGCCAGGGGAGGACGACTGTTGCTTACCCCCCTTGGAGTGATCCTGTGGGGCCCATAAGCTGCCACGAAGGCCCTGGTCTCCTTTGGGCCTGGCCTTTCCTGTATGGTTGGCCATCTCGGAATGACTCCAAAGGATTGCAAAGGGCCGGATGTGGCAGGACAAACTGAAGCCCAAGACGGACAAGACCTCAGTGGTTCCATGGACGGGACCTCCAGGCTGAGAGAAACGCCTGTCATTCTCTCCCTTAAGAATCAGGTTTTGGGGCCCTGCTGGGTCCAATCTCCGGGCTGGTCAGCTATTTGGCGATAGCAAGGAGGACGGTTGACGTGCACCAGGAGATCAACCAGCTGGGCCTGACTGAGGTCTAAGGCCGTGTTTCCCAGCCGTGGCAACTTTAAGCTCTGTGGACGTCAACGGCCATGCCTGGACCTTTTTCTGGCCCCACATCAGAGCAATTGGTAGTTGTCTTCTGAACCCAACTCCAGGCACTCGGGAGGTTTGCAAAATGCTTTACACCCAGTTGCAGGACGAGCAGCTGCTCCAAGGTCTTCCTGGCACCTCTGGTCATCAGTGGACCACCCCCCGGGGCATCTGCTAGGGGTACTTTTAGTCCTGGCTGTTCATTCTGATTTTTCTATGGCGGCCTGGTGGGAAAGATGCCGCTGGAACCGAAGCCCCCTCTTCATTATTTATTTATTTAATTAATGAAATGTATTGGCCGCCCAGCTCCAGTGGGCTCAGAATATATGACTTTGCTTGCTCAGGCCTTTTAATATTTAATTATTTAAAGTGCATTGTTTTATTGCTTTAATAAGTTTTAAGGTTGTTTTTACTGTAATGATATTTCTGTGGCTTTAATTGCATTTCTGCAAGCCATCCTGACCTGTTAAGGAAATGGGCAGCATGCCAACATTTAAAATAAATAAACGTGTAAGAAATGTGGCTGGAGCAGATACCATGCCTGAAGAATCTTGCCACGGAAAAGAAAGAGGGTTTTACCTGCAATTCATACGTTTCAACGTTTCTTCAGTAACAAAAACAATCCTCCCCTTTTAGACTGAGCCCAGATCAAGGAAACGGGGCTTGGCTGACAGGCATCTGAAGACAGAATTCTTAAAAATGCTGAATTTAAAGCTGAAGAAGCTTCTGGGATGAGAAGCGAAACGTCTTCAAAGAAAAACCAGAAAGTCCAGCTGCCTCTTGAAAAAAAGCCCCTTTGGGCTGAATTTAAAAGTTTCAAGTCGTCTCCTAAGCCCGTTGCCTGAATTTCCTGCCACCTTCAGATTTTCTCTGGCTTCCATTCTTCAGGCAGCAGGTGCGTCATCCCACTTGAGATATTGGGGTCTGCCAAATAATTCTTCCGCAGGGTTCATGTATGGGGCTTTGGAGTGGACCCCGATTCACAGGATAGGCAGGATGCCAATATCCAGCTGCAAAGGTGGGTCACCTTCTGGCTTCCTCTCTTCAGGTAGACCATCCCAAGTTTCAGGCTGGGGCCTTATCAAGAGTTGAGGGAGCTTGCTGCTGTTCTTGCTTTTCATTACCAAACTAGGTAACACCATCAGTGCTAGTCCTGTTGATGACACCAGCACTGACGATGGTGTTACCTACTGAAGAGTACTGAAGCATCTGCCAGGAAACAAGCCAGCTCAGAGGGCGCCAAGGAGCCCCCAGTTAAACCCTGAGCTACAAGTCGTCTGTCTCCTTTAGTGTATATATATATAGAGAGAGAGGATTGGTTAAAGGTTGGAGCACAACTCAACAAAACATTTAAATAACAAAAGGTAGGTATTTGCTCAGGAGCCACTTGCAGAAATAAAGGAATGGCCAGGATAAGCAAAAATGGAAAAGGGGAAAAATGGGGAGAGAATTCGGAATAATAGCTGGGATTGGACACGGAGCGGTTGGGGAAAAGGGAGAAGCAGCGAAGAGGGCCCCCCCCCCCCCCCGAGTGGAGAGAAAACCTTTCAGAGG